GCATGACTACATTTACTTGGGGATAAATCCTCCTGAAAACCAAATTTGAAAAGCACAGTGTTTTTCTAAAGTGACATGCTGCCTTTCTCAGTTGCTAGAGCTTTTGTTAGAAGTTTGGATGCAATTGAAACTATGCTCTATTACATGTGAAAAGCTTAATAAATTCTGTATATCAGCAGTATAGGTCTCAACATTTATTATGAGACCAATGGTCTGGGAACCATTGTTGTATTAAAGAATCAGCTGGTGTCTATGCTTTAGAAAAAAGGCTTTTTTTTTTTTGCCCGTCATCTACTTTAAATTTCTGCAGGGTCTCAGACTAACATATTTTAAAATAATTTATTCCTACAAGTTTTAAGGCCATGGTTGTGGTAGCATTGTTCCAGAGTAGATGTGTTGAATTTTGCAGTTATTCAATGTAACTTAAGATTTTTTTTCTATCAGCCAGTCTTCAATTTTCTTTGTTGTTGTTGTTCCAGTATCTTCATTACATTAATCTGCAGTGCCCTGTCCTGTGCTTGTTTTCAACAAGCAAAACAAAGTAAGATGGAAATTTCTTTAAATTATCTAGAAACCTCTTTACTGCCTACATAACAGTGATAGAAATGGTAGTGGGGAGTGGGATGGTATTGTAGGTGAATCTTGGTGATGGCTGGGAAAGAAGTTGAAAATCAATTTTCTAGATATCTTCCTATACTTAATATAAAAAATTTAATCTGTTGTAAAATATTTCCTAAGGGAAGTAATAAAAAGTGTGGATCAGTCTGGATCAATTTAGAAAAATAAACATGGATTTAGAAATATTACTTAAAATGATCTTTGTGACACATTCCATATTATGAATTCTCTGATAAGTAAGCAGTTGAAAATAGAATAATTAGAATACTCGGAATAGACCTTGGCTACATGATTGAGTTTTGTCTTTGACACTATAAGAAAACAACTGAAATCTCAGATACTTATAAAAATCTCAGAAATTTAAGGACATAAGAAGTGTAATAAAAAAAAATAACCTTTTTACAAAAAAAAGATTTTTTTTAAATCTTTATGGAGTATGTGGGTAATATAACAAGAGTTCTTAGGGTTAAGAGTCAAAGTAAACAATGGAAGAGAATTTATTAATTGGATTATCATCTTAGCAACTCAAAGTAATTACTGCACTACAGGAAATACACATTTCTTTTGAACTGTCTGGATATTAAGATACACGCTGTATTTTTTTTGTATAGTGTTTAAAAACAATAAAAAATTCTCTAATTTGGGCATGGATTCTTTTATATGTGTTGAGGAGAGGGGTAAGTCCACTGTGCAGCGTAAGGCCCAAACTCTTTAAGTCCTGGGTTTGTAGAGAAGAGTGAGCAGCTATGTCGAATCAGTTTATCAGGCACAAATGAAAAGGCTACATGCTGACTACCAGAAGGTATTTATTTCTTTTTATTTTTTATTTTTTTGGGTACAGTCGTGGGGCCTGAACTTTGGGCCTGGGCGCTGTCCCTCAGCTCTTCAGCTCAAGGCTAGCGCTCTACCACTTGAGCCACAGCACCACTTCCGGCTTTTTTTCTTTTTGCTTATGTGGTGCTGAGGAATCGAACCCAGGGCCTCATGCATGCAAGGCAAACGCTCTACCACTGAGCCACCTTCCCAGCCCCAGAAGGTATTTATTAAGAAACTGTTTGCTCATACACGCTAGAAAAGGTGTTATGTGAGGCAATTTGCCAGGGTCTGGTGTTTTCTTTGTAGTTCTTAAAACCAAATGAAATTTCAACTTTTAGTGACATTGATTAGGCCTTGTTGTTAATTTTCATTGTGTTAATTACAAGATACTATGTGTAGGCTACAGTTAATGGTAAACATAATCACTTTAAAGTAGTCCAGAAAACTGTGATTTAGTAATTTTCATATTGTTTTGACCCTGAAACAAAGCCCTCTCAATTTGTAGGTCCTCAGTACATCCCCCACCCCGCCATGTGCCTGTCACCAGATGGCTTTCACACTTCAATAACTGCTATTTGATGACTCAAATTCCTTTTTTTAATTGCAAATTTTATTACCTTTATGGTGAATCAAATCCTTGCCTTCCCCATACATAATTTTAATATTACATATTGAAGTTCATCAGTAGTAAGGTTGTTTTAATGTAGATTTCTATCACAGAAAAAGTCACAGTTTTACAGTTTAAATACATTTCTAAGTGGTTTTAATCTTTGACTTGAACACAATATGCTAAAAGTTTCCTTTGATTTGTAGGATAGATTCTCTGTTCTTATTTTCCAGTGTTATGACTTAGTATTCCTCCAACTCCTTTCATGCTTTTGTGGACCCCTAATTGTCTTCTACATGGTCTTTAATGATTTCCATTTCTGTGGCTCCAGCGGCACTGTTATTAACATAGCTTCTGTTGGTTCAAGACTTAAAAAACGTTTTTTCCAGACTTAAACCTGTGGTTAAGATACTTCTATTTTTCCTTTTCTCTTTTAATAATGACAATCAAACAGGGCTTCAAGCATGATGGCAAATGCTCTTACCACTGAGCCACATCCCCAGCCCAAGACGCTTGGAATTCTTTTCTTTTTTGGTCAGTCGTGGGGTGTGAACTCTGGGCCTGAGCACTGTCCCTGAGCTCTTCAGCTCAAGGCTAGCACTCTACCACTTGAGCCACAGTGCCACTTCCGGTTTTCTGGTGGTTTATTGGAGATGAGGCTCACAGACTTTCTTGCCTGGGCTGGCTTTGAACCATGATCCTCAGGTCTTAGCCTCCTGAGTAGCTACGGTGAAGCTTGGAATTTCTAATCACCTCTTAGCGACCACTAGCCACTTACCGAGCTTTCAGGAATGACTCTGGCATTTTACAATAGTTTTTCACTCAGGGATGTGGCAGCATCATAATTTGTAGATGAAACTATCTCCAGTTTAGACATGATTTATTTTCTGTTCACTTTCCTAGCCATCTGCCATTACTAATACATTTAGCAATATATATTAACATGATGTATGAATAACTTGTAAGTGGAGAAAAGGGGCCTAAAGTTTTAATAAAGCAAGACAAAAAGTGCAGGTAGAGCCAGATGAGAATCCTTAAGATGCCTCAAGGATATGAGAACATTGCCACTATATATTCCTTCTGGTGCATGTGTAGGCAGAAAAGCCTGGGGAGATCCCTCTTGTTGGCTTACTGCTTTGTTCTCTCATTTCATTTGATGCTTCCATTGCTATAACAAAGCAAGCAGAGAACCAAGGCATAACTTGAAGTTAACTGATAAAAAACTCAAGTTTTTAAACTCTGGTGAGTTTTGCATTGTTTTCACAAAATGTGTTTAATGTGGCAGTAATTTTCAATCTTCAAATAAAACTCAAAGCCACAACTATTGCCTGAGATTATATTCTGAGATTATATAGAGCCCATCATAAACATTAAAAAGGTACAAGACATTCCCAGAATGCCCCTGGACACAGTTCTTCAGAAGCTTGACACTTGGCTGAGGCAAGGCATAAGTATAAGACATTGCTGAACTTTAGAGTCAGCATCTTAGTAACCTCACTTGTTCTATCCATACTGATGTAATATTTGGTGCTGGTACTGAAGCCAGCACCTTGAGTAAGATAGGCAAACACTGTACTATTAAGCTACATCCACCAGCTCCCATATGAAATACTACTGTAAGTGTATGAATCACTTAGTGCAATTTGGCACTGTGGCCTGGTTCTGCAAATGAGAAAGGAAACACATCAGCAACATGAAATTGGGGAATCTGAGATAAGGACTAGGGAGGGTTCTTAAAGGTCATTGCTGATACTCTACATTTTGCCAAGTTTTTTCCCTGAAAAGTGGAAGTAGCAATAGCCATAAAAAAATCATGCAACATTGTTTTAGGCCAAAGTCTATAAATGACCAAGGGAAATAGTTTAAATGACCACAGGGAAACTCACCTGGAGTAGAATTTTATCTATGGAAGTTGTAATTTTCTCATAGTGATAATAAATCTTATGTGATACATAGAATTATGCATTTTTCCTAGGTCAGTGTGCTTACTAGTGTTCTCTGTACATAGGTTGAGAGCATTGGATTTAAATCATTGTCAAAGGCATTTCTAAAATGTGTGGTCCTCAAAATTCCTTCCCTCAAGTTCTTTCAATGACATGGGAAATTGTGTCACCTGCCCCCAGAATAACTACTTGTGGGTTAGCAGCAAACTGCTAAACAACGGGTGAACTGCTTAATCCATAAACACTTTAAGAAGTCTGGTGTTAGGTTTGGTTTTAAGGATGATGGGCAAACTAAGTACCTACATTGAGTTTAACATGTAGATGGGGCTGTCTGGTGGTGCCATATATGGACACATTCCAAATATCCGCTCTTCTGTTTTTGGAGGTGTCAAGGTTTGAACTCAGGGCCTCAGGCTCCTGCCACATTATGAAATCCCTACGTCCTGAGATGGGATTGGAATTTTCGAGCAGTGAAAAAACGTGTCTCCAAGATTACTATGTTCGTAACGCAAGCGGACTGGCCACAGAAGTGGTCAAGGACAAACTGGGACCCTGGGTTTCACAACGGTCTATTAGGCCCTACTATGTGTCCTTTTATGGAGTCTACAAAGTTGGCAGGGCAGACATTCAAGATGCAAGTACAGTATATATCATGTTAGGAAAAGATAAGCTGGACTTCGTGTGTGTGTGTGTGTGTGTGTGTGCGCGCGCGCATCAAGCGGGAGTAATTCCAGTGATTGCTTGTACTCAAAGACCACCTGGTCTTTAGAACCAGCCAGTTCACCCCGACGTGGAGAACAGCACATGTCGCATTACCATGCATTCCTACGCACTGCGGTGGAGAATCCACTGACGATTGGTTTCACCCGCTGGGTCTGAAATCTCTACAACACACTGCTCCCGCGCACAGGACAAGACACGCCCACCAACCAATCGAGTTCCAGTAGAGCGGGCGGGTCTCCAGTTGCCCCGCCCCTTGACCCGCGCGCTTGCGGAACGTAGGCCATAGGTCAGAGGCCGTGAAGGCGTCATGGCGGCGCTGTGTCGGGCTCGTGTCGTGGCTCCTGAGACCTACTTCCTACGAGTGTTTCTATTCTCCAGGTCCTTTCGAGGAGTAGGCACGGAGAGTAGCTCAGAGAGCGGGAGTTCCCATGCCTCAGAACGTGAGGCGCGCCCGCGCGGCTTCGCGGAGGCGCTAGAGCGGCACTCGGAGCTGCAGCGGAAGGCAGCAGCCTCCCAGCCGGTGAGAGCCAGTCGCCGGAGCCACGCCCACAACGCGGTGGGCGGGGCGGGGCGGTGCTGGGGGAGTGGAGCCTCACCCAGGACGCGGTGGGGGGGGAGCTGTGCTCATGACGTGTGCGTTGGGCGGGGCTAGGCTACCAGTCGGTTGCTCCGGACGGAGGTGGGACCTCGGGACTGGACCGGATCCTGGGAGCTGCCCGCGCAAGCTTGCCTCCGGGCTGGTTGTGCTGTTAGCGTTTGGCGGGTGCTTTCTCTGTATTCGTCGTGCGGCGTTTCTGGGTCGCCGCGGTGGCTGTCCACATGTCGTGGCGAGAGTGTTCTGGTGCCCAGTGTTGGCGACTGGAGGGGTGCGGCTGCCCCCCGAGGCTTGGCCAGGGCCGCTCCCGGAAAGTGGACGCGCCCGGAAGAGATGGCTCCGCCGGCCTCGGCCGACCATGGATGCGGCGTGGCGCTCGGAGCCGGCGCACCAGCCTCCCTGTAAACGTTTAATTAGATGGATAGGCGAATAGTAGAATTACTTTTTGTTTGGGTTCTTTTTTCTGAATTTGGGTGGATAACTTACTCTGTCAGAAATTACCTGTGTCCTGTTTTCTGTGTGTGTGTTTTTTTAAATTACTATCTCTTCTTGAGCAACACTAATATAAAACATATTAGAGATAGAAGTAGACATACGGACAATTATTATTATTAGATTCAGCAGACATGAAATTGGGTGATAAAGAACATTCTAAATTTCTGTATGTATCTCTTTGGGGAATAGCACCAAGTAGTTTACAGGCGTTTGGATGATAGGGTCATTTTAGTAGGTAATGTAAGTTTTTTTTGTTTTGTTTTGGTTTTGGTTTTGGTTTTTTTCCTGAAATTCAAGGATTAGAAGAAATCTGGAGTATTTTAATCTTTTAATTGATTGTAGTACTGAGGACTGAACCCAAAGACATGGGCTTTACCACTTGAGCAGTTGTGTGTTTTTGTTTTGGTGGATCGTGGGCCTAAACTCTGGGCCTGAGCTCCTCAGCTCAAGGCTAGTGCTCCACAGTGCCACTTCCAGCTTTTTCTGCTTATGTGGTGCTGAGAAATCGCACTGAGGGCCTAATGCATGCAAGGCAAGCACTCTGCCACTGAGCCACCTTCCCAGCTCCCATTTGAGCAGTTTTTAAAAGATTAAAATACTCCAGGTCTCTGGATTCTAATCAAAGTGTGATTTAGGTTCTGGGATGTTGTCTTGCCTGATCCCTGTTGTTGGGGCTGCTGACATTCATTAGCTCACTGTGCCCTTCTACCATCTTCAATAGCAACAATAAATGAAATTCTCTCTGGAGGCATGACTTAACTGGTAGAACTTAAGCCAAGAGAGTTCAAGACCCTGAGTTCAAACCTTAATGTCAGCCAACAAAACCAGGTGAAGTTCTCATAACTTCCTTATGATTATCTCTGCTGCCTTACTTCCATTTGAGGTCCCTTATTGGGACCATCTAGATAATCCAGAATAATGCCCCTATTTTACGGTCATTTGATAATCTTAAATTTAGCTGAAACTTAATTCCCCAGTACTGAGGCAGGTAACTAAGGATGTGGACCTGTTTGGAGGGAACATAATCTGAACAATTCCAAATTGCAATAGAAGAACTACAACTGATCTGAAGCCTCTAAAGAGCAAATTTTAGAATTTAAGGATTAAATACTTCTCCAAATATTTATATAGGAAAAGAAATTTCCCTGGTTCTTATTTTCCCACTTTTCTTTCTCTCCCTTCTCCCACCATATGCCCTACATTTCAGTCATCTTTATAAATGCCAGAAAATAAGTCACAGCAACTGAGTTAATTGTGACAAGAATGGAAATTTTGGTATCGCATGTATAACAAGTATTTGGAGTTCAAAATGTCTTATACTTGAGCATTGACACATGGTAAGCTATAAAGCTTGTTTAATAAAGGAAAGAACCTAGACTAAGTGACCAGAATTCCCTTTCTTTCCTTTCTAAGGCAGTTCTAATTGGGCTGCTCAATTTTGGCAGGGGGTGGCCGGGGTGTTTCCTGCTAGTCCCAGTGTGCATTAGATTGCTCATTCAAGCTTAAACTGAAGGGAGTGTCCTTGAGCACTTTTCCTTACCTCTTACAGTTCAGAAATTTTTACTCTGTGAAATGGGGGCAAGATGTGTTTGGTTGTGACACATAGTTCACCTATTCATAATTTTTGGACACTTTGGCTTAATGAAAAGAGAATTTTCTGGGGAAGAAGGTTTCAGGAGGCTGAACTGTATGTAGTCTTGGTCTTGTAGGTTCTTAGTTTTATAGCATTTTGAATTGTGATCCCTTTAAGATTCTTAATACTACAGACTCCAGTTGCTCACCACTCCAGGGCATTATACACACTGCAATAGAAATATTATATGACTGCAGAGACGTAAAGAGATGGTGTTTTGACTTTTCTTGGGAATTTGTAAGCCTCCATTCACCTCGCCTGCAGATTAAATATACATCTCACCACTGCATTGGACACCTCTCTCCATTCTTATCCTGCTTGATACCGAAATTAAAAGCTTAGACTCAGTTTCATACTCATTCTGCTGCCTCCATGAGTGAGTTGGTCAAGCTACCTAGCCTATCTGTTTTCTGTCAGAGCAAAAGTCGATTTGAAATAGTACAGTTCAGATGCTATCAATACTGACTGCAGAGTAAATTTTACTCAATACATTTTAACTTTTGGGTAGTTCAGTTCATTTCTTCTCTCCCCTGCTTTTTAGAGAACAGTTTCACAGTGATGCTGCTAGAATTCCATTGTAACTTCATCCCTTATAACAAGTATCTGCCCTGCTAGAGACAGTTGTTGATACAGGTGAGGCTACACATGAGAATAGTCAGGGAGTGCATGAGATATACCCTTCTACTATCTTGTGCATTTTGCTATAAGCCTAAAACTACTTAAAAGTGTATCTAAGCTGGGCACCTGTGGCTCACACCTGTCATCCTAGCAACTCAGGAGGCTGAGATCTGAGAATAGTGCTTCGAAGCCAGTTCAGGCAGGAAAGACCGTAATCTCCAATTAATCACACACAAAAAAAGCCAGAAGTGGAACTATGGCTCAGGTGGTAGAGTGCTTGCTTTGAGTGAAAAAGCTTGGTGACAGGGTCCAGGCTCTGAGTTCAAGCTCTAGGAATGACATTTAAAAAAAAAAAAAGGTGTGTGTGTGTGTGTGTTCTGAGGATCAGCCTTGGAATCTTGGATTTCTTGCATTTGCTAAGCAAATACTCTTCCACTGAGCTACATCCCCATGTTTTTTCTTTCTAAATCTTCAAGTAGTACAAAGGGATTTCAGTTCAATCTGTCAAATTTGAGTACAAACATCTTGATCAATGTCACTCCTTTCATCATTCTTCCCCTACATCTGTCCCAGCCCCACCCATCCTCTTTTTTACATATTCATCCACAATTTCTCTCCATTCATCTGCCTCCTTTTCCTTAAAGGGTCTTCCATAACTATCTGTACTCCTCCCCAGCTCCTATAAGACAAAACATGTTTCAGCTTCATGGTATTCATTTGATTAAGTTGTCAAATTAGTTACACTATTAGAATCTATATCATACTTTAGTCAGTTTGTATAATATGAATGTGGCCCTATACAAAACTTCCACATATGAGAGAAAACATGCATCCTTTGTCTCTCAGCCTGACTTACTTCACTTAACAGATTTTTTTTTCGAGGTCCATCCATTAACCTGCAAATAACACAATAACATTAATGGATGAATAAAATTGATGTGTATGTATCACATTTTCTTATCCGACTCATCTATTTTAGGGCATCTGGACTACTTGCATAACTTGACTATGGTAAATAGTGCAGCATTGAAACATGGGTGTGCAAATGTCTTTATCTGTTTTGTAATCTTTTGGATAAATGCCCAAGAGTACTATCATTGGAATACAAGGTAGTTCTATCTGTAGTTTTTAGAGAGATCTCCATACTATTCTCCATAGTGTTTGCATTAATTACATATACATTCCCAATATCAGTGTTGTGGGTTTTGTTGTTGTTTTGTATAAAATATAGCCCTAGTTAATCCTGAACTAATGATCATCCCTTCCTGTCTCTCTTCTTCTTTACTTCTCCTCCTCTCTTCTCTCTTTCTTTCTCTCTCTCTCTCTCTCTTTGTTTTAAGACAGGATCTCACTTTGTAGCCTTGTAGCCCAAAGTGTCCAGGAACTAGCTATATAACTCAGGCTAGCCTTCAACTCAAGATCCTCCTGCCTTAGCCACTTGAGAGTGCTAAATGTACATATATGACTACTACAAGTATGTTAATTTTTTTTGTTTTGATACCTGAGTTCAAACTTAGGATCTTGAGTTTGTTTGCTTAGCTGGCATGCTACCACTTGAGCTATGCTACAGCCCAGCTTTTTGCTGGTTATTTTGGAGATAGACTCTCATGGACTTTGCTCCCAGTGCTGACCTTTGAACTATGATCCTCCAGATCCTAAGTTCCTGAGTAGCTAAGATTACAGGCTTGCGCCACTGGCACCCGACTTGTTTTAAATTTTCTTGATAATAGCAATTCTGACTGGAGTAATTTTGATGAGAATTTCAGTATCATTTTGATCCTTATTTCCTGATGGTCAAAGATACTCAACATTTTTTTCAATTATTTATAAGCAATTTGTATTTCTTCACTTGAAAAGTATCTGTTCAGTTCACTATGTGAAATATTACATGTAATTATTTGTGTAGAACCATCCTTGTATCCTTGGAATGAAACTAATTTGATCATGGTGTATGATCTTCTACATGTATGTTGTTTAATTTGATTTGCAAGTATTTTATTGAGATTTTTGTCAATATGTTCAAGGAAATTATAGTTTTCTTTATGTTGTGTTCTTATCTTTTTTGGTATCAGGATGATAGTGGCTTTGTATCATGAGTTTGGAAATGCTCTTTTCCTTTGTTTTATGGACTAATTTTGTCTGAGGAAGGTTGTTGGTGTTTCTTGTTCTAAACTTTTCT